TTCCTCAGGTCCTATAAAACCTCCAACACCTGGTCTCCTCAGGTCCTATAAAACCTCCAACACCTGGTCTCCTCAGGTCCTATAAGACCTCCAACACCTGGTCTCCTCAGGTCCCAGCTGGTTACAGTTAGAAGAAGAGGGGATGCTGCACAGAGGAATTATGGGCCTGGAACAACTTTAAACAGATTTGCTGATGCCATAAAACTCAAAATTAACATTTTTTTTTCTAAATAATAATAATAATAAAAATAAGAATAATTAAACATTTGGCATGCCTATGGGTAAAATCTGGGTTTATGGAGAGCTTGAATTCTGTTTTTATTTACCTTTCACGCCACCTCCTGACATTTCTCCAGACTGTGGTTGGAAAAGGACTTGGATGATTTTCTCTTCAAATAAAGAACTGAAGAAAAGCAAACAGGAAAAAAGGCACAGACTCTTGCTGCTTGACCAGAAGCACCAAACTGCACAAGAAACATCTACTTCAAATTTGGTCAGACTGTTTGAGAATACACACATTTCTCTTATAAATACTCTTCAGTTACCGCACTACTGCATCACACCTTGATATGATTACAGAAACAACAGTCTATTTTCAAAGTACACACAGTAAAATACACGTTCGTATGCATCTAAGGATATATATGTTAAGCACATTTGTACAAGATCCATGAATATAATTTTGTGCAATTGTACGCAAACTAATATCTCAGACAAAAGGCATATTAGCATATTATCTTTCCATATTGCACCTGCACCCATTTCTGATTCTTCACCGTGCAAACCATCCAGCTGCGAGGAGGAGAGGGGGGTTCTCCCTCCTAAATGTTTTCATATTGCCTCTAATGAAATAAAGACAAGACTCTTAAAGGGGAGGATGGTTGCAGGTGCAGCGAGACGTCTGAACCGAACGGTGGAGGAGTTTAATGAGGCTCGGCGGTGATTGTAAGCGAGGCGATGGCTTTCAGGCAGGTCTGGACGCTCTCCTCCTGTCTGCTGTCTCTCACAGGAGGAGCAGGGTTCTCCTGATGGTCACCACCGTCCTCGCCTCCCGTCTCCAGGCCCTCGCTACTCTGAGGGCTCTGCGCCGAGGACGGGCTGGCGTCAGCGGCGGGGGAAGGCGGGGAGTGCAGCACCTGGAGCCCCCCGACGGGGACGATGGGGAGCAGAGAGCGAACCTGCTGCTGGGAGTGGAGTGGGAGGTGGCTGAGAACGTTCTGTTGAGGAGAACCAGCGGGCGGCACCGAGGCCAAGCTGCTCCTTTGATCCTGAAACAACATCGGTGCCAGAGTTAGCAGCGCCAGCAACACCTCACAAGTCCAGATATTTCAGAATCATGAAAGTGTTCGGTGAACAAAAGGTTCTGCAGCTTCATGCAGTTCTGCTACTGAGAGATTTCAGCCAAACATTAACGACCCAACAGTCCTTGAAAGAAAGCCTTTCACACAAACGTGTTAAACTACGGTCATTTTATTCTGAGAAATCAAGAAGTTACCGCTGCTTTAATCAAACCTTCAAAGTAAAGTTATAATAAGTTGGCTAATAAAAGGTTTCGGCAGCCATCTTGAATTGAATTACCCCAAAAGTTTTTCAGTTATAAATGTGCATCCAGTAATTACTTTCTTAGAGAGTAACATCAGTCCAGAGGTTCATGAGATATTTAGTTAAGACGTGTAGCTAAAGTGAAGGTGGTGCTAAAGTTAACATGGTGCTAAAACTGAGATGTAGGTATCCCTACATCTGTAAATAGTAATGATTTCATGAAGTTCATTATAAATAAAATTATTTCAATTAAAGAGAAATTTCAACCCATCCTTCCTACTATCGCCTCTGGTTCCCTGTCAGATGAGGCAGCTTTAGAAATATCACTAGAACCTGATTTAGGTTTGGACTGTTTTTGTCCTGTTGAGCTCTCTGAATTGTCAAAAATAATGACTTCGTCCAAACCATCAACATCTGCTAGATCACGTCCCAAGCAGACATACCTGGTTGGGTACCAGACGTACCCAACTACACGTATTTCCCAACCAAATAAAGAGGTATTTTCCCTAATTACCGTATTTTCAGAGTCAGAGAGATTTGTCATTCGCATCTCTTGTGGTACATGTGGTGGAACGAAGTTATTTACACAGGGTCCCAGTTGCATAATTTTTCAGACTATAAGGTGCATCAGATTATAAGGCACAATATCAATGAACGGGTTTGTTTTCATACACAAGGCGCACCGGATTATAAGGCTCACTGTCGATTTTTGAGAAAATTAAAGGATTTTAAATGCGCCTTATAGTCTAAAAAATATGGTATTATCCTCATCTTGGATCTGCTCAATTTGTCTGTAATGAATGGTTACGTACCGCAGCGCTTTAAGATTGCTGTATTCAGTGCTTCATTTGAGCCGGATCCTGCCGGAACAGGATCCAGGAACTTTCTTATTTTGACCGAGTGCATTCTGGTAAATGTTTGCTGGGATCCGGCTTGGATCCAGTAACTCTCAGGCTTACTAATAATAAAGTTATGAACAAATATGACTACCTTGAATGAATTAAACTTATATTGGACATGTAAACTGAAAATAATTACATAAACACTCATTTTAAACACAATAGCATACGATATGCCTGTTCGAGTAGCATTTCTGCGCCTACCCTTAAAAAAAATCTCCGTCCCTAAAAGAGTGGTGGAGGTGAGTGCCGAGCTAACCAGGTAGTCGTACGCAGGCAGGAGCTCGCAGGCAGCCACAGGTGCCTGGAGGTTCACATGTGGAGTCCGACAACAACAAGCAGGGACAGAGTAACTTACTTGACGGTTCGGTCAAGTGGGGAGTGTGGGGGGGATGGTTAACAGAAGCGGAGTGTTTACAAGTTTAGGTAAACGTAGATGTTTAACAACCTGTTGAAATACATACATCACATCTACTTAATTCTAAATTTTCTGGGGGAGGACCCCCAGGTTGTACAAAAAACACAGCACCACCTAGTGTCCTGGCATGGAAACTACAGCCAGATTTAATTTAAGTTTAATTTATTTAACGAGGACACCATTACAGTGTAAATGTACAACGTTTTCATAATCGCCACTGAAAAACCATCATTTGCAGAGATTCTTCTCATGTAAACTAGACGTAAAATGAATCTTTGCAGGTTTCTGGTGGGTATGAGTAAAAACTACATTACCGTTTCAAAAGCTCCTTGTTGCAGGGACATCTCCATCTTCGCTTGGTGTCGAGTTTTGTCACAGCTGCCTTTGTGTTGGTGCGAGCCCCGGCGTGGCGACACGGCCCTCAGCACCACCCTCTGCCTGCCCCTCACCGAGGACTCTCTCTTTCCACTGAGCTCTGTCCCAGGAGACACAGGTCGCTCCATCGACACAGGGGACGGGTGCTGGATGGATTTGAAACTTGGAGACCCAGGCCTCAGGGGAGAAGTGTCCCACCTCGGAGACGACCGACCTCTTGGAGAGAGCTCCCGCCTTGGAGATGGATAACGCAGACGTGAAGGGGAGGGCTCCCTGATGGGAGACTCCCAACCAGGAGACAGTAGGCAAGAAGAGTAAGGATCGAAGAGGAGGCTGGTCTGGTCCAGAGGCAGCATGGTCAGAGAGTCTTCATCCACAAACTTGTCTCTCTGTTCTGTGGGAGGGGCAGCTCGGGGGTCTGGACCCGGACGTTTCCCGGAGAACTGCTGGTGCTCGTCAGCTCCGGGCAAAGTGCTTAACGGGCAACCGTGGATGGGAGACGACACTGAGGTAACTCCACATGGCTGAGGACTCAAACTTCTTGAATGCAGCTTTGGGGTGGAGTCCTCCTCGTACTCTTCATCCTCATCATCATCTTCATCTATTTCATCAGCTTCCTCATCCATACCGTCGGAGTCCTCGGCGTCTGAGAACTGGTGTTTGGTCGCTGCAGCCACCTCTGCCTTGGACTCGTGTTGCATGTTGTCCACTTTAAAAGACAAACGTCAGTTTTGTTTAATGCTCGACAACTTTTCATTTGACTCTTCATTTATCCAGACACAACGTCTTTTTAAAAAAAATGAGACCTGGTCATAACTCCATCATAAAGTTCTCCACTAAACGATAACATTAAAATGAACAAGTCAGAATCAATATAACTGAAAGTCTAAAAGCTTTGGGAAGGTAGTAAAATGTAAATAAAAACAGAATCCAGTGACTTGCAGATCCCTCCAATCCGTTCTGTATTTACTGGAACAGTGAACAAGTCAAACGTTGAACTACATTTAAGGTAAAATAAAGTTATTTTAAATTTAATGGCAGCAAAACATCCTCTTTGAAACATCCTCTCTTCTAACAACAGTCTGTACACATCCAGGACCTGAGGAGACCAGTTGTTGGAGGTTTAGGAGGGAAATTTAACCTGTTCTGGTCTGATGGAGGATCCTAACTGTTCTACAGTACTGGATCTTTTTCCTTGTTTGGTCCACTGAGAGTGAGAGAGTGAGCTGCAGCCAGGTCACCAGGTCACACCATGAATTCATGCTGTTTTCATGGATGCATCTTTTCTTGAAAAAGCATCTTCTGGATGAGAGCACAAGTTGTTCTAAGACTGGCACGTTTTTTACATTGACGGAGCTTTTCCAGATTCATAAGCTGTCCATGCCAGAGACACTAATGCACCCCCATACCATAAGAGAGGCAGATTTTTGAAATGTGCGCTAAGAAACATACTAGATGAATGCTGCATTTGTGGTTTTCAAAAAGAACTCCTGAGGCCAGACGGATCCAAATCTGAACAGTTCTGGACTTCACCTCAGTCCATTTGAAGTGAGCTCTGGTCCTGAGACGACGGCAGCGGTTCTGGATGGTGTTCACATCTGGCTTCTTAGTTGTTTGATAGAGCTTTAATCAGCATTTGTGGATGAACTGCTTGCAGACAATGATCTGTGGATGTCTTCCTGAGCCCAGAACAGAACCAGACCTGGTTTTAATACAGTGAGGTCCAGAACCAGCACCAGAACCAGACCTGGTTTTAATACAGTGGCCCCTGAGAGCCCGAACATCACGACCATCCAGTGTTGACCTTCATCCTCGTCCTTTGAGCTCATATTTCTACAGATTCTTCTAATCTGCTGATGAGATCATGAACTGGAGATGACGGGTCCTCACGGTCCTCTGGTCTTCTGAATATGTTCAACTGTTTTTTCACAGACTGCTGAACATCTGCCCATCTTCACTTATGAGAGATTCAGCCTCCCTAAAATCTTCTCTTGTTACTGACCTGATGACAGTAAATCTAATTAGTTGTAAAATGCTCCAGCTGCTGTTTCTTATTTGTACCAGTTAATTTTACAGGTGTTTTTAGCAGCTGTCCCAACATTTTTAAGATGTTTTGCTGCTTTGAAATTCAAAATGACCTATTTCCCCCCCCCAAAAAAAAATCCAAATGGTACTTTCTTTTTAAACATTTTCTCTGTTTACTTTATGCTACTGTGAGTGAATCCAGGGTTAGGATTATACAATGACGTGTATTATACAACAACAACGGTTGAAAGTTTCATTTGAGACGTGATTGCAACCTAAACACTTGAATCACATCAGAGCTCGTTATCTCACCGTGCTCCTGGATCTCCGTGTCGTCCATCGTCACCGACACGCCCAGTTCAAGACATTTCTTCATGTGTGCCTTGGACTTCATGTGTTTAGTCAGGTTTCCTGCAGTCAAAAGGCACACGTGCTTCATGAATGAGGTCAAGGTTGCAAAAAGCATCTGATGAGCAGGGGCACCTCCAGAGGTGGCCAGATGGGGGCCCATTAATAATATAAAGACTGTAACAGAATTTCAGGAGTTTTAAGTTGTCTTATGCAGGTTATTTGAAATGTAATGAAATGTGAGAGTTAGGAGTTGCCTTCTAAGTTAGGCTTTGTTTTGATTTCTAATCTTACAGTTAATATTATGGACGGACAGCAGATCGTCCATAATATTAACTGACTGAATCTTCTCTTAAATTCAGATTTATTAATGAGTAAATACTGAGTTACTAATGTTTTTATGTTTATAGTTTGTAGATTTTCTGCACACTTTGTGGCTATGTTTTGTATTAAAATGTATTAAAAGTTCAGCTTGATCCAGAAATGGTGTGCGATGATTTTTCATATTTGTACCTTTTCAAAATAAACTTTATTTAAAATTAAATTCTCTTTAGAGACACATCGAGATCTCTTCCTTTGAAGATGTTCTCCTTTAAATCTTCAGCGTACATGCTTTAATTTTGTTTTTCTTATGCTACTTTTAGGTTTACTTCTATTTTAGCTACTGTTTTGCTACATTTAGCTTTAAGCTACCGTTTTGTTTCTATTAGCTTTTAGCACCTTTTAACGTGATCTGTTCCTCAAAAAGGAAGAAGCGGGTAAAGATAATGGATGGATGTTTTGTTCATTTTAGCTACTGTTTTGCTAACTTGAGAATTTGTTTGGTTCATTTTAGCTGTAGCATTTGTTTAGCTAATTTCAACAACTTTTTGCCACTTTAGTCTTAGCATCTGTTTTACAGGTTTTAGTTTGTTTTGCTAACATTGGCTAGTGTTTTGTTAAATTTTCCTTTTGCTAATCATAGCTACAAATTGGTTAATTTTGGCTGTTTGCTTCTTTTAGTCTTGACATTTGTTTAGCTAATTTAGTAGTTTTAATGTTTATAATGTTATATACATACTTTTCAAAATAGTTAACTTTATTTAAAATTAAATTAACTTTAGAAACACATTGAGATCTCCAACTTCTTCAAAAGCGTTCTTTGTTAAAAACTTTGTTTTGCATACTTGCTCTTTTGTCTTATGCTACTTTTAGCTAACTTTTTGCTACATTTAGCTTTAAGCTTTTTCTCTTAGCTTTTAGCTACCATTCTGCTCCTTTTAACTTTATTTTGAAATTATCGTTTTGTTCATTTTAGCTACAATTTGGCTAATTGTAGTATTTGACTAATTTTAGCTTTAGCATTTGTTTAGCTAGTTTTAATTACAGTTTTGCCAATTTACTTAGCATCTTTTCTGCTGTTTTTAGCTAGTTTTACCTACTTAGTTACTGTTTTGCTCATTTTCTCTTTAGCATATCTTTTGCTGCTAATAACTACTGTATTCCTAATTTTAGTCCCAATTTGGCTAATTTTGGCTACTGTTTAGCTTATTTTAGCTTTGACGTCTATTTAGCTAATTTTAGCTTTGCAATAAATTTGAAAATAGCATTGTCACTATCATAACAATAATATCCCTTGATCTGGTAACTCATTGATGGCTCTGAGTTACTATCACAGCAAATCTAACTCTGGTATCGGTAAAACTTTATTATTTACAGCCACTTTTGGGTTTGCAAAGGTCACTGAGCTGTAATCAGTGGTAGACGTACATTCTGTAATTACTCTCTGAGAGTTTCATAAAAATATGTGCAGTTGTTTAGGAACAGCAAGTTTATGTGGGGAGTTATGCCCCATCTGGCCCCCCTTTAGTTGTGCCCCGCCCATACGTTTGCGTCACTCCTGCAGATCTTATGATTGGATTGTCTTTTTGATCACCCACCTTTAGTTTTGAAAGCGAAGTTGCAGACCCTACAGACGTACGGTCGCACGTCGGTGTGCGTCCGGATGTGTTTTTTCAGCATGCTTGGTTTTTTACAGCGGATTCCACACTCCTCGCAAATGTACTTCCCCCGGCCTCGACCTCGGACGTACACGTAGTCCTCGTTGGACTTATACCTACAGAAACACAGTACATTTAGATTTTGGTAGATTTAAAGGAAGATAAAATAATCCACATATTGACTGACCCTCCCTCGAAGACTTTAATTCGTGTTGGCACCATTTGGTTCTTGGAGGCCTCCCTCTCTTTCCACTCCTCCTTCGCGGTTTTGGCTCGGCAGCTGTTGTCTTTCACCTTTTTGCCATAGGCGACGTCCACCTCCTTCGGCTCCGGTTTCCTCTGCAGCTGAAGCCAATGAGCACACGCCGTGTTAACACCCGTTGTGAGTGGACTCCATATCGACAGGGTAAACCGATGCATCGTGTATTGTGTCACTCGTGGTGTTGCACAGCACGAGTGACACAATATGCATTATGCTGCTGCTGCTGCAGGAAAACCCACCGCAGGAAACCAAGACTTTGATACCAGAACAATTCTTCTTACTTCACCTGACATTAATGAGGTGAAGATATGCATCTGTGTTTTACATAGATTGGCCTGTAGAATTTCTCCCTATCCTGAATAATATTAGTGCATAATAATGCACATTATAAGAATAACAACTTATATAACAATATAGGTGAGCAACTTTCATTTTGGTGCATACAGTAGCTACATGTATTGCACAGTTGACTTCAAAGAGTGATTGCAAAATTTTAAACTACCTTTTTTAATCTGTTTGCACTCAGAGTATGTTTAGGGAATAAGTCTCAGCAACTATAACCAAATTTTAGTTGAATTTCTTTAAAAATGACTGAGACATAACAGTTATTGTGTTCTCTAAGATCTGTTGGCTTTGGCAGCCATATTAAATCAGACTGACTTCAAATGTTAGTCAGCTCCAGATATTCATCTAACGATGACTTCCTGCAAATTTGATTGAAACTTAAGCAACGATTCATAAGATATTTTGCTAACAGACAGAAACACACACACAGACATTGGCAAACTCTATTTGTTCACCTTCACCGTTGAGCAAAAGGCAATCGTGTTACGAAAAGCACTTCACACTAAATAACTCAACATTCTTTCTTGTTTTTCAACGCTAAGACAGATGTTCTCGTTTTCTCACCTGCTCCACGGTCTGTCTCCAAAGGATGAGGGATGAGACCAGCTTTCCCGTGCCAGGCTGACACATGGCAGCCAGGGTGTAAATAACCTTATCCCCCCTTTGTCTGGAGCGCAGCAGAGCCAGCGCCGCGCTCGTGCTCAGCTCCAGAGGATTGGGATTGTGGGAAGTGACGCACCAGGCGGCGTACACTGAGGTGAACGGTGCGGTGCTGTGGGAGCATGTGGGCTTGGTGTAGTTAAGGAAACACCAGCTCACGCCCGTCGTCGTGCGAAGTCGAGGAAACTGAGAGAGGAGCTGTGGATGGGTGTCTTGACGTGTGGCCAGCTGCGCCAACGTGTCCATCTGCACGAGTTTGTTCGTTTCGGTGGATGGCATCACAGGCGAGCTCGCCTCCAGGGAGCTGCTTTCCATGGCAATTTCATCAGCAGCCATGCTCCTGCATGGGTCGCCCTGCATCTCCTCACTTAGGTGGCATTTCCCCAGCTCCACAGCACTTAGCTCCTCAACTATTTGCCCAAAAATTCTCTCCTCCTTCACCCTCTTTTGCTGCTTAACCTCCATGAACTGGTCCAAGCTGCTGGCCGGAGAGAGCATCCGCTTGTTCGTGCCACCGCTGGAGGCGTTCGTGGTCGATATGGTCCTGGAGGTCAGAGACAGAGGGATGCCCGTCTTTAACTTAGCTGATGACAAATCCAGGGCTTCCACGTTCAGTGTGTGAGCTGTAGGCGGTTTTGCATGAGAATCAAGATTTACAGACAAACGTGAAGTTTGACTCTTTAGGGCAGATATAGAGGAGCCAACACCGTCATACTGATTGTCAAAAATCTGTGATAAAGAGGTGTACATGATGCTGCCAAAGGATGGCACATTAGTTTGGATTCTAACAGGAACTACAAGGCTTGTGTATGGTATCTGGGGCAATGTATTCCCGCTGGAAAACATTGGCAGAGTCTGTGGCAGAACGACGGGAGCTGCAAACAGAGAGGGGGTGCTGCTGAGGTACGGTGCAAACACTTGTGTTACTTCAGTGTCCATAATCAGTGACTCCTGTCTCACCAAGTTCCCCCTCCTTCTCTCCTTCGCAGAACTAATGTCCACATGTCTAACTTTGGATGTTGGAGAAAGGCTGCCATAGTCAAACGATACGCTGCGTACCTCTGGGAACTCCCTGCGCAAGTTGCATGGTGCCTGCTCCGAGGAGGAGCGTCTCATTTCATGCTGCTGCCGCTGGTGGAGCACAGAGAGGGAGTGCCCACTCCCTGGCACAGCTAAAAGCTCCAGCGGTTTGCCAAATTCATCCTGCCTGACTGGAGAGGCTGATTTTAAGCTCTCCTCTCTGTCAAAGGAGAAAGTGGAACTGTAAGATAAGTTGCTGTCCTGACTCGGGCTGCGTGAGAGACTAGTGCAGGCAGACTCGAAGCTCGATTCCCCGGAGGAGTGCTCGATTTCAGCCAAGCGAAGCCTTTTCTTCTTCGGAGGGAGTTTCTCTGGTGGGAATTGTGCTAAAGTTTCACTCCTTTGAGGCCACTGAAACTCCTCTGTGTGCTTTTCCAGTTCCTTTGCTTGCACTTCCAGAGCTTTTTCTGGACTGTCGGGTTCAACCGTGACTCTGATTTCTGGGACTTGTATGTTCGACTGTCGCACAAGTTTAGGCCCGAGCTGAGCTGACTGCCTTAATCTACCATCACATTCCATTTCAAAAGACACACTCGCCTCCGCTGCTTGAAACGAAGACAGAGTCTCCAACCTCTGCTCGGGGTGAGGCCTGTTGATTGAGTTTGTGTGCTGAATAACTGAAATTACATTCCCTAAAGTTTTTCGTCCTGACGTTTCAGAGCTCATTGATACGTCCATATTGCACCTGTCCAACTGTCCTCTCCCTAAAGCCATAATGCCCATTGCAGCTTGTTTAATGTCATAGTCTTTGCTTGAGTCAAACATGTCCTCGCACGGTTCGTGATGACCCCCGTACTGACCCGCCAGGTCCTCTTCTTCTCTCTTCTCTTTGCGACGTTTCCGTGTCGCCAGATCCATCGCATGTTTCTGTTGGCTCATACTAGGCACCATTGAGGAGTAGTTTTCCACTTCCTGTCCTGAAACTGAACTCTTCCCATGGCTCTCAGCATCTGTGTGGCCATCATGCACAGAAAGTTCAATGGCCCCCTGCCGCTTGAGTTTCCTCAAACCGCCTGTGCTTGTTCTTTCATCAAACGAGTGGCTGCCTCGGAGGGCCTGTGGCATACTCAGACACACGGCGGATGACGTTGGCATAGAGTTGCTTCTGATCAGAGGTCCTGTGTCAGAGCTGGATTCCAAAAGTGACTCTTTAACCTCTTCTCTGCTGGATGATTTTGTGTTTATTCTGATCGACTCGACTGTGTCTTTTTCTTGAGTGAAAACGCGGGACACACCTTTCTCTGAGCATTTCCCAGCATGCTTGTCTGATTCTGCACAAGCCACATAGGCTGAGGTCTGCTTGGGACTTGGACGATAGCATTTTCCAAACATGATCTCTTGGTAGGACTTGGCATTGGTGTTTGGAGGGCTGGTTTGGTGCTCGGAACTCTCTGAGCGTGAGAAATAGCCGGAGTCTGTGCTGCCCTTGCTGGATTGACTCGGGAGTGACAGATTATGCTCCGAGTCGCTGCTTCTTTTTTCAGACAGTCGGAGGGCGAGCTTCTGCTTGATTGTGGAAGATTGAATTGCACGACTAGCCTCAGCCGTGACAGAAGATGCATTGATTTCTTGGGCTTGGGAAGAACCATCCTGAGCTGACATTGACGTGGTTCTCTTTTTCTGAGCAATGAGATTTAGGACTTTTACAGCAGTGTTATCTGATCCCTCCATCGGCGAGTCCAGCAGCAGCAGCGGGTCATTAAGTGTGTCCTCGTCTGTGTCCGTGCTTTGCTCAGCGTCGGAGAATAATTCTCCTTCCCCTTCAAAAGACCCCTGTTCGGTATTGGCATTGTAAGACCCAAGCTCTGAGCATGGCACTGATCCAGCTTTGACAGAGTGAGCATGGGACTTCCTGTGTTTGTACAGGTTACTCTTGGTTTTGAAGGAGAACCCACAGGGGACACATGGATAGGGCCGTTCCCCGGTGTGTGATCGAATATGTTTCTTAAGAACGCTGGGCTTGGCACATGCCCTTCCACAATAATCACAGACATACTTCCCTGGTTTTGGTGGTTTCAGATCCACCTTAGACATCACCTCTGTCAGTTGATTTGTTCCTGGGTGAGTGCACTGCTGCTCAAGTGAAGTTGAGCACTTCTTCTGGGTTGCTTGTCCTGGTGTCTGTGCTGAAACCTTGTGTCTGCCATTAGAGGGCTGGGTTTGGGACAGCTGATCCTCTAATTGCAGAGCTTTTTCTGAGCCGGACGTTTCACTTAAATCACACGTGTCTTTGCTCTGATGGTGCCGTGTTTTGCCTTCTGATTCAACCAGCGGCCTTTTTTGAGTCTGTGCAGCCTCTGGTGTGTCTCTTTTCGGTGCAACGTTTCTGTCCTGACCCTCGGTAGAGCTTTTCACCCCTGCAGTAGTTTCAAGTGACTCCATGAATCCGATGTCACTTCCTTTTGCAATTGATTTTCAAGGATGATATCTGTTATGTAACTGGAGTGGCATCAACACGTATGTGGACTGCAGGGACCGGTCATCTGAAAGAAACAGGAAAGAAAAAGAAGTTAGAAAAACTCCGATAAGGATATTTATTGTCAGCTAGAAGCACAAAGAAAAATATGTGAGTTTCAAGAAAGTGAGATCCATTCAAGGTTGTTTCCCAGACGTCCTTCTCATAAAACTGGACTATAAATTTATAATGAGTTCAGTCACAGCAACATTTGTCTTTTTGCAAAGTTACTTCATTCTAACCCTGGCACAAACCCTCAGATGTCCTAAAACCCAGTAAATGTGCATGCACTGTGCATGTTAAAAATGATTGTGTACATGTATTTTGTGTGCTATAAGACAATAAAAGCCTACTTTTCCTTGTAGGAATGCATATCGCCCACCACTTTCCCTACCAGAAGTTTAGACTGAGATCATCTTATGATGAGAAATGATGGAGTTGATCTGTTTTGGCTAAATTTTTTAAATAATGATGTAAATCGAAGCATGTGTTAAAGACCTGAAGATTAGTTCAATATCTGTAAAAATATTGATATTGACTGTGGTGGCCATCTTGAATTGGGCGTACCCCAGTTGAAGATGTACATTTGCAGCATTTCATTAAACTCTTTCTAATGGTTCATGAGGTGTTTTGTATCAGACAGGCATAACTGACAGTAACAGAACAGCCATTTTCATACTATAAATCATACAGATGTGGCGGCCATATTGAACAAAGTTGAATCCAAAAATTAATCAGTTGTAGATGCACATCCATGATTATTTTCCAATGGTTTTGTTCAAATTTGAGATGAGATGTTTTGCAAAAAGTACAGACAAATATACACAAAATAATTAGCTATAATGCTAAATATTGATGATAATGAAAATAAATATTGGAATTTGTCTGCATAGCAAACTAATTTTTATTTAAAAAGCTACTGGTGTTGCACAACTCAGGATTTTGCTAATTTAAGTTACACGTTCAATATCCAATCAATCAATCAATTTTCCCTGTTTCTCCTTCCCTGGTTTCAGGCAGCTGGTGCCCATATCCAACAGTCTCAGCGTGAGAGGCAGCAGGCCCCCTGGACAGGTCTCATGTCCATCACAGGGACATACAAAGACAAATGAGACAAACATTCACACCTAGGGAAAATTTAGAGTTACCAACTAACCTAACTTATGTTTTTGGTCTGTGGGAGGAAACCGGAGTATCCGGAGAAAACCCACACATGCACGGAGAGAACATGTAAACTCCACCCAGAAAGGTCTCAGGCTGGGAATTGAACCTGAGACCTCGCTGTGAGGCAACCACTCTAACCTCTCCCTCAACAAATGTTCAACATTGAAAGTAATTTTCTGGGAATAATGAAGAGCGACCGACCTGTCTGCATTTCTTTATTTTATTCACTTTGTTTTTATTTCCTGCGAACAAGGCAAAGGCGATGACAAAGTTTTAGTTTCTGCATGTGTCTGAGTGGATTCGTGGACAAACTTTAATGAAACTTACAGAAAATAATCACTGGACGAACAACTGATAAAACCCGTTGAAGCTAATCAATTCAAGATAGTTGCTACAGCAAACGTAAAAATGGCTACAGTTTAGTGAATTTTGCAGGAACTGAGCTAAAACTTGGTGCAGTAGTAGCTGAGAGTCATCCTCAACACATACTCTGAGCTTGACATGTGATGTGCATGAGGTTTGATGGCTACAAGTCACTTTTTACTGTCACTAAAACTCTGGCATGAAAGGTGGCGGGCGATACGTATTCTTTTACGACACTCAACTGATAAGACTGAAAGCTTCACACCTGTCTTCGTTGCCGGTGTCATCACTGGGTGCACCGGACCGCATGCTGAACTGTATGCACACACACACACACACACACACAGCTCCAACCACAACCAGCCTGTGTTTACAGCAAGCTAGTCCAACGACTCCACATCCTACATTAAAGGGTGAGTATCTGAGGACACGTCATCCCCATCTTCTCAGTATCAAACGCTGTGTCCTCCCTAACGAGGTTATGTAAGATTATCTGGCTCAAACCCTCTGAGTTCCCCTTAATTAGGACATCCTCTGACTCTCGCACTGTCTCCCTTTCCTGCTCCTTGTTAGCATAACACACACAAACCAGAGGATGGGAATCCAAGGTGACTCTGGAGGTGCATGAATGCAGCCGTGGGGAGGTTTTTTTTTTATCAGCTTCTGCCTCTTTGTGCTTCAGTAGATTTGAGGGCTTCTTACAGGATGGTGAGGGGGGTGGGAGGTAGGAGCTTGATGGGATTGATCCATGTTTCAATGAAGAGACTTAAAGAGGGAAACTAAGAGGGGTACCCGTGGGGGGTGTCACAATATTCTGAGGCCTGGTCAAGGTGACCTCATTGCTTTCTGTTTTCATCCTCTTTGAGCCAGGAGGAGAGAGAAGTGGGGGTGAAGAGTGACACTGAGATAAGACCCTTGGAAACAATGCACACCTTTGAACTGTGGAGGGAGCCCACCTTCAGGGTCCCGCTGACAAGTCAGGCTCTCACTTCAGGCAACAAGCGCTCACCTCTACCGAAAAATAATAATAATAAAGCAATTGTGACACGGCAGCAATGACGTGCACCAGCAGAAGGCAGGTGGGTGGCAGTAGGTGTTTTTCAGGATAACTGTGGGCTGATGGTGGTACAATGTGTACGCACGGATGGAGATATGAATTACTGGAGCACATCCACGAGAAAAATAAAACAAAAACGCTGGCTGTATGGAGAGCATCATTGTGTTGCTGCATTACATCATTAGAGGCTAAGTTGGCCAATAAAGGAGCACCAATCCAGAAATATCCCAAGGAGATGACTGGAGCTGTGGCAGAACATGAAGAATGGAGCAACAGCTCTGTCTTAAAGCCCTCAGCCGGGTCGAGAGAAGCCTCGGCTCCGACAGCAGCTGACATTCACATATCAAATATATTTCTCCCACTAACCTGACATTTGAATGGTCCCCTGTTCCATACCGACAGTCACATGTGACATTCCTCATACTGCCCGGTCCGGTTCTCCATCCTCCTCGGGTCTGGATGAGAATCAGAACAAAAGACAAAAAATCAGCGCGGTAAAGTCCCATCAGCTGAGAAGCTGCTGGCCGAGCGGGCGTACATTAGAAGATCTATTGATGCGAGCAAGTCACCAGAGAAAATACCCAACCATGACGTGCGGACCCAGGCACAAAAATAGCAAAGGGGCCCATGGAGGGATTACACAACAGCCCACGTTTAAGGACGCTTTTTCCTCCCTCTCTTCCACTCCCTCTCATTGTGTTTGAGCGCACAGCAGCAGCTGCCTCACTCACAGAGAGGGGAGGCAGCCGACACGAACCGAAGGGCCGAACGACGACGTCCTCCTTCATTCAGCTCCTGATTCTGACTTATCGACCGCCACGATGTGGCCGTGTCTGTTTCATGCATCTGTCGTGGAATATCTCGTAAACCAAAGGATGGATTTTATTGTAACACTCAAAAAATAAACACTGGTTGTGCATCTACTATCAACTAACGTATGGAGTCAATCCAATTTAAGATGGCCGCTACAGCCAATCAGTTTTAGCCAACACAAAAATGTCTTTGAGTCAGTTTTACACATATTGAGCTGAAGTTGTCAACAAATTCTGAGAGTGGCATCTTGTGATTTACCACAACCTTATTTTTGTTAAGGTTAATGGAGAGTGATGGTGCAGAGGTTAGAGAACATGGGCTTGTGATCGGAAGGTTGCCGGTTCGACTCTCTGGACCGACAACATCAATATGTGGGTGGAGAAACTGAAACACCAACACCTGCCTCCACCCTCATTTGCCCCACTCTGGGCCCCTGAGCAAGGCCCCTAACCCAACCATCTGCTCCCAAACAGGTCTCTCTTGAAACTGAGTCCTCGTGACTCAGTGAGACTAGCTGTATAAATAAAGATTAAAAAATTAAGGTTACAACTCCATCGTGACGCATAAGAATTTTTATTGCCCATCATGGAGCAAAGTGGGGGTATTGGAAATGCCCTCCATCCGTTGGTGCACGTTTTGAGCATGATAACTGATAAGTCTAAGATGGCCACAAGTGCACGTCAGAGTCAGTTTTTCACCCTGTCTCGACTGGTTTTGAAAAGTTTAAAAGGGCTTTTATAGAATTTAAGGAAAACTGGGTGACATTTTTATCCTACTCTAGTGTATTGTTTTAAATTATTATTTATTACAATTATTGCCCTTTACTGTTATCTTATATGTTTTATATATTTCTAAAGTCTTATTCTAATCTTGTTACTCGTTTTGTTTTTTTGACACGTGCCGCTGCCTGTTCTTGGCCAGGTCACCCTTGTGATCGCAATGGGTTTTTTATCTGGTTAAATAAAGGTTTAATAAAAAATATTAATAAGTGAGACACCAACTTCCATTTTGGTGTGTAGTTGCATCTAAACGTAAGACGGGTTTCTTTCAAAAACTGAGTTGTCAGTCAAAATCCAACATGGCCACCCCCGTATACATATATGTCAACTGGCCAAACCTACTATTTGAGGAAACTTTGCTTTCTAGTTTTCATTTTGCTTAAAAGTATAGTTTCCTCAAATGATTGGGGTGGCTGAAGATAAATCAATGGTGGCCAAGGCCACCATTGGCCACCCCCTGGCTCCGCCACTGCACCTTGTGGGGGATGAAATGACTCCCTCCATTCACCAGGATCCGTCGGTCTGCGCCACCTCGGACAAAGCAAAACAAAAAACGATCTGTTCTTCTCCACAGTGTAACTCCTCCCCACTTGAATATCTTGCACCAAAAACATTCAGGTTTAAAACACTCGTTTATAAAACTTCAAATCCCTCAGCTACGGGGGACATCTGCGTACCGCTTGTTTTAGTTTCAAACTACGGCATGAACGGTGGCGGGCGATATGCATTCCTTCAAGGAACGCTAGACCTTTCAGTTCATCCTCTGCCGATGTGGCGTGGATGTATTTATGCAGTTTAATACCTGAACGTGTGTGTATGGGCAGAGGAAAGGGAAAATGTAAAAAGCGACTGTGAAAGGCTCTAATGACACGGTGCCGTAGTGTGAATGTACATCTCCGACAACATTCGACACGCTCACTGAGAAGATGTGAATGAACGACGGCGCGCAGGGTGCCTGACTGCTGCAAAAATCAGACTTGTTCTGTGAATTGTGAGACACCCACAAGCGACTCTGAGCTAGCTCTTCCCGTCATGACAGGATTTGCTTTGTGAATGGAGAGAGTCGTGATGAGGGTGTCATTACCACGGTGAAAACTGGGACAATGCTGCAGATTAATGCGCAGCTGCAGTCCTCGTCCTGTCAATAAGACGTTTGACTTCAGTTAGAGAGCCTCTGCCTTCATGCAACTGCTTGGGAAATCGAGACTCCTCTGAACAAGATCGTGCGCTCTGATATTGTATAAGTGTAAACTTAAACAGAATTGTCTTTTTTTGTTCATTGGGATTTTTGAGAGTAGTTGACTGAATATTTTTTAGTTATCACAGCTAAATACTGGACTGCAGGCAGCTTATTTCAGCTCCTGGACACTTCTTCTATGCTGTGGGAAGCAGTACGAGCTTTAGTATTTTCTTGTGGAAATATGCAAGGTCTTCCCTGAAAAAGACTTTGGATGGATGGGAGCATATGTTCTAATTCTGTTCATACTTTGCTGCATTGATGGCACCATTTTAGAGCACTAATGCACCCCAATACCATCAGAGAGGTGGGCTTTTGAACTGTGTGCTGCTAACAGGCTGAACGGTTTCCCTTCTCTTTGGTATACAGATTATTCAAATTTCAATCTGCCCGACCTCAGAACAGTTCTGGACTTCCCCTCAGTCCGTTTGAGATGAGCTCTTGTTCAGAGAAAATGACAGCAGTTCTGGATGTTCACATCTGGCTTCTTCTTTGCCTGATAGAGCTTTAAGCAGCATCTGTGGATGAACTGTTTGCAAACACCAATGTGTGGAAGTGTCCCTGAGCCCAGGACAGAACCAGACCTGGCTTTAATGCAGTGGCCCCTGAAGGACCGAAGACCACCACCATCAAACGTTGACTTTCAACTTTGGCCTTTGACCTCATTGATGTCTACAGATTATTCTAATCTGTTGATGAGATTATGAACTGGAGATGGTTTTATAATGGTAGAATTTATATGTTTAAACTTTTGATATATTCACGATGTTCCATTGTGAAAACAAATGGGTTTATAAGATTTGCAAATAATTTCAGTATGTTGTATTAATATTTAAAACAGCACTTTGGCTGGCCCTGTTGCTGCTTTTTAAATAAAATGGTATGGTATGGTAAAACAAATTCCCAAATTTTTCTAAATTTGTGTTGCACAAACTGTTTTAAATATTTTATTTAGGAGACATGACGAGTTTCAAAGACCCTTTGTGAGACAATGAAAAGAGTTTTGAGCTTAAAAATAACTGAACCTGTGGAAACTTGGGGCACACTCTGTGTTCTGGAATATCTGAGAGAAAACTTTGTCTTATAACAAGTATAGGCACACTGGGTGGGAATAAAATCTTACATTTTGATGTATAATTGTGGGATTCCAGTGTTTTTCCTCTGCAGTTCACCTTGAGGCAGGTTGGTGCCAATGAGCAGCAGCTGGGACCAGTCTGGATAAAGATCTCCAGGGGTACGGCTGCTGAAGTCTTCCTTCCGATGCTGGAACATTACAAACCAGTCGATACAGTGACCGCCTACCTGTGGTTCTGAGAACTGAAATTATACATACCAGTTATTCATCTGTGCCGTCCTAGTTCCTGTTTCATGAGAATCATACCTGGAACCTACCTGTGCACCCCCATGTGTTCCTGAGGTAGACTGGATCTAAAGGAACTTGTTGCTACCTGTCTGCTTTCTACTTACCTGCTAACCACAGAAACATCTACTTACCTGGAATCGTCCACCCTCCTCTGTGTTGACAGACCTGGAAGAAACTGTAAGAACTATTTTTTGTAGTTACTCTAGACCCAGCTTACCTGAAAAAACTACTTACCAGTCCTCCTTTGCAGATTCCTCCAGTATCTCCTGTACACACCTATACATATCCATCCATCCTCTTTCACCTGTTTCGAAGTCGGGTCGCGGGGACAGCAGCTAGAGCAGGGAGACCCAGCCACCTCTTCCAGCAACAGCCCCCCAGTTCCATACTCATGGAGTACCCCCGACAGTGTGCTCCAAGGAACACGGTCAAACGCCTTCTCCTAGTCCAGAAAACACGTAGACTGGATGAGCAAACTCCCTTGACCCCTCGAGGACCATGAGGGTAAAGAGCTGATGCGTATATACTGTATATAAACCAGCAACTAGGGAGCACAAGCCAGTGTATCTCCGGTTCTGGTCCCAGACCTGGGTAAATGGTGAGGTTTGTGTCAGGAAGGGCATCCGACATAAAACACTTTTGCCAAAACTATAATGCAAGTTCATCAAAGCGAAACCATACCGGATCTGTTGAGGCCCGGGTTAACAATGACCGCCACCGGTGCTGTTGACAAACAGGGTGCCGGCGAAAATTGTGCTACTGTTTGTCGAAGACCACGAGGAGGGAAACGTGTCAGGAGACCGAGGGAGACGAGGAAAGTGAAGAATGTAGGTAGAGAGGACATGGAGGTAGTTGGAGTGAGGACAGAGGATGCAGAAGATAGAGTGAGATGGAGAAGGACGACTCACTGTGGCGACCCCTGAAGAGGGAAAAGCCTCTGATCCACTGTGCTGCTAAGACACCACACATTGATGCAGAATGTTAAGATCAGTGGTTAATTTAAGCTGGATCCTGCCAGAACAAGATCCGGGAACTCCCTCATTTTACGGCAACTGTTCGTTCAGATCCGGCAGCTCGTGCCTCCGCCCGTGAAAGTCCAGTCATTGCGCATTTTTATTTTGATTATTTATAAAAAATACAATGACGGGAGACGTTGTCCATGGAGTGGATGCTACTCCTGCAGCAGAGACGCTGACCGCATGTCCCGCAGGGATGAAGCGTCTTCATCCACCTTCAGCTGT